TTGTATCTCTCGATTTTTCTATTTGGTGAGGCCAACACTGACCTTTGACACGTGGCTAAATGTAGGTGTGTCGAAGCGAGTGACACCTATTGCCCTTTCCCTTAGTAAAGGAAGCACACGTAGAACGCACCGTTGCATCTTCATGCATCGGTATGCGCCTGCGCGCGTGTCCTTCGAAGGTTAGACGAGCGAACGAGAAACCGACCGAGCGAGCGAGCGAACGAACGAACGAGCGAACAAGTGATCATTATTTCTTCTTTTATTGCTGCTGATCCTGTTTCTTCTGTTATGATAATAAGAGCCAATTGTTTTCTACAAATCTATCCAACAAAAATCGTGAGTATTGAAAGAACATTATTTTGTTTATACACATAAATGAATATAAATAATTTTATTTATAATATAAATAATGAAGGAAATAAAATAAAAGAAAATAAAAGAAAAGAAAATATAGTTTAGTTGAAGTACCTAGACCAGGAATATTAGGTTTACGCAAATCAACGTCACGTGATCAGCACTAGCAAAGCGATTAGCATTATAAAGCCGCGATAACATTTGTTGCAAATTGAGTTTACAGGAACGTTTATGCGAGTCGGGCTTATCGCGAACGAGCAATTGGAAAGCTCATGTAGTATATAACCTATCAAACTGCGAATACGATTATGTGTTTTATGTGTGGAGGGAGAGGGGGGGGTAGGTTTACAGGTGTGCGAGCTTCGACCATCGAAAGGATCGAAACTTATGAATAGAATGTTTCACACATACGAGTCATACACATAGGAGACAAAAAATGAGTTAATATTTTTAGTCGAGGTAATCGCGAGTACCTTTGCGACAAGCCTGCTAACGCAGCGGTTACTCTTACGAAAGACCGAAGCGTGCCGATAAGCGTTACTAACATGTGATTCTACTTACGTAATCGCTACTGCCACCTTTTTTTACACGATATGACAAAAGAGAATCTACGAATGCATAATTAATGCGTTACGCTGCTTTACACTTGAGAACGAATGAAGATCTTACATTAGTCGATTCATGGATTCACTTCAATCTGACCTGAGTTGTTTTTGCTTTTTTTTTTTTTTTTTTTTTTTTAAGCACCTAGGAGAAACTAAAAAAGGTCTAAAAGAGAAATCAACGTTTCTTCTTAGGACAAGGAAAAAGAAAAAGAGAAAGAGAGGGTTTAATGTAAGAGAGGAAACTGCAAAGAAAACTCGGATCGAGCGTAACCAGCCCCGAGTATCAAATCGCTACCAGCGAAAGACCATTTAAGGTCTCCTGCTATAAGCAATAGCACTCCGGTGATGAAACTTTATCTGCGATCTAGCTACGATCTAGCTAAGATTAACGTATTAGAAGCTTTAGCCTCTCGACACTCGATATCGATTTCATCTATAATATGTTTTGAAAATGTTCAAATAGAACACAATTCATTCGAATAATCCTCCTCTTTCTTACTTTTCTTTTCTACTTTTCATTTCTTATGTTATTCATTATGTCATCAAAGTACACACGAATATCTAATCTGAATACCACCATGAACACACCATGAAAATTTATCCTCGTAAGTTTTCCTTTCTCCCTTCTCTTCTCCCTTCTCTTCTCCCTTCTCTTCACCCTTCTCTTTTCATCTTGTTCCGTTCTTGTTCCGTTCCTGTTCCGTTCCTCTTCCGTTCTTGTTCCGTTCTCGAACACGTGATTCTAAAAATAAACACTGGTTTGACCAAAATCTAACTCAGGTAGAGGATATCCAAGTATTTTTCCTATTCTTCCTTTCATGGACTAAAAAGAACAAAAGGACTAACACATTTCAGCCTGGCATCATGTGGTGCCTTTTTACCAAGATTTAGATAAAACTATTTTTCAACAGATTCTTCATTCCAGTTTCAGAATATTTCCAAACGACCAAACCATAGCAACCATACGAAAAATAGTATTTCGTGAAGATTCTTCTTTTCCTTTTATCGTTTCTTTTATTTTTCTAAGCGATAAGAAGTAGGACTCGGAAGGAATGTTACCTAAATAAATAAAGCATAGATGTGTAAACTAATGTTGGAACGATTTTTCGTAGATTTTTCGTAGATTTTTCTAAAGTAAACAAGGAATTTTCTAGGAATTTACAATACGAGACTACTCAATCAATAACCGTTAACTTTCTTTTAATTTTAACTCCATTACATTTTCTATAGTTCATCTAATTAGAAATTGAAATGCAAGTCTAGAATTTTTCTCTAATATATTTTTTCTTCAGAAGGTTAGAACAATTTTTGCTGTGGTCAAGAATATTTATAGAAAAACAAAACAAAAAAAACAACAACAAAAAGAAAAAATTCCATGAAAAACTTATTCGTAGTTTTTTCCAAAGATTCCTAGCTCCTAAATATCTGAGGACGAATTCCAATGAATAGAAGAGAGAAAGCTAGAAAACTAAGTATACAAAAGAAGAATACAATGTAAAGAAGGAAAGAAACACGATGACGCACGTTCGGAAAAGAGAGATGACAATAGTGTCGCCTACTAGGCAGGAATTTATTCGTTGAACAAAGTGATGAAAAGATGAGCTCGACCCTTCCTTTCGATTTCCAAAGCAAACCGAACATAGCTACTACAAAGTGACTAAAGCTGTTTTGATATATACTTAATAGTAAACATTATTATTTGTTTATAAACTTATTACAGGATCATGAAGATGATTTTCATTAGTCTTGATTTTTTCTTCGTAATTTTTACGATATTTAAAGAAGTAAAAAAAAGGAAAAAAGGAAAAAACGAAAAAACGAACGAGAGACGATAGTTTTCCCTTCCACAAACCCTTTTCATACGAACCCTCCACCCTTACGCATTTATTCTCTCAATACATAATGGAGTCGGTCGATTGATACGCCAACGCTCGCACGAAGCTTCGTAAGTGCCGATTTCAATACGAGGGGATGATTACTATAGGGCATAAACGTTTCAAAGAAGCTACACGCAGTTTTTATTACCAACAACTATCGCATAAATATTTCCTTATCATTTTAAACGCTTCGTTAATTCATTATTATATATCATTAATTATATAATCTGCCGTCGAAGAATCCCAATAATTTGGGGTACATAGGCAAGAATTTCGGTTAAAGCCAATGACGACGTCGAATGTTTGATCAGAGAATGAGCAATGGCGATGGTGTCGCTAGTGTAGCCACCACGCAGAGGCGCGTATTATGAAACCTGAAAAAGTCTTCATTCAAATGATCCGACAAAAGTAAGTTGTAGTCTGTAGAAAGCTTTGTTCTTTGACCTGAGAATCCTATCTCCCCAAAGACTATCCCAACCAACACAAGAGTTGTACATAAGATCGATTGAGAAGCGTCATGAGTAAAGATAAAACGATATGGTGTGTGAGTTTTTAGGCGTAGGACGTACCAAGTGCACGCGTACCTAACTTGGTGCACGAGTTCCATAAATGCCACATGCACTTCGTCGATTTGGAAGGGATATGTATTTACGCATACACAAACATAGTCTCCTCCGGTAGCAACGCACCCATACTATGCTATTCCATCGGACGAAAACGGAAGACAGAGGACGTTCATGAAGAAGAGAAACGACGAGTGCGAGAGAGAAAGATAGGAGTGAAACGACACAACGAAAGGCAGACAGGAAAACACCATGGATGGGAGTGAGTGAGCAAGAGGATGAGAATGAGAATGAGCATGAGAATGAGAATGAGAGAGAAAGATATATGGAGAAACGCGTTGCTTGAGGAGAAAACAGTGGTGGCGGACGGACATACTCTTCCTTCTCTTGTGTGGCTCCACCCACACGCCACCACCGGCGCAGTCGCCGAGTCTCACAATCTGGCAACAGTGGCTTGCTGCTATAACCGATATATTGTGGCTGTGGATTGAATGGAGGGGAACTAGCTCAGGTCAAACCTCCCCACCGGCACAACCCCTCATTCGGAGGAGCGACCCCTCCTTTCCATCTCTCTCTCCCTCTCTCTCTCTCTTTCCTTCTTTCTGACTCTTCACTCTTCTTAACCGTATACTACACAACTAGCAGTCTTTCTCCCTTCTTTCCCACACTTTATACACCCCTGTGTATAAAGCACAGCCTCCCTCTCTTTTACTCTTTCTCTTGGTCTCTCCTTCTTCCTCTACTGCTCCATTAGCACTCGTAGGATGTACGTGAGAACTTGCGCGCGTGTGTGGGTGAGTGAGCGAATCACCCTTTTTCTCTCTCAGAACACTCTCCCCCACCAAAGTATATAAACTAGTGGTGGGGAGTGTCGTTGGGACACTACTACAAATAGATTTCAAACACTACTCAAATAGATACTCTGCCACTAGCAGTATCGACGTGCTTTCTGAACAGTGTGTAAGGGTGTATACGTGTGGGTGAAGTTAAAGGGGCAGAGGGGAAAGCAGTTGGGAAACTAAGGTGGGAGAAAGAAGGAGAGCGTGAATACGGTAAGCCCCCTCATCAGCCTCTCACTCTAGAGACAGTATTACTTTCAACCGTTTAGTGGGGGCCAATGCTACACCAGAGTATCGTGTAGTAGTCACTACAGTCGAACAGTCCAAGTCAGACTTTGAAGAAGAACGCCAGGACACTTTCCTTCTCCCCAAACCACCTTGAATTTCGTCATCTTGGAATTCCTGCCAGACGATTACTAAAATGTTGTCTTTTTCGTTATTTCTCTAGTTTTTATTTAGTCTAGTTTTTAGTTCTTTTTGTCTTGCAACTTGTACAGATACCACATACTCTGCATCATAATTAATCATCGTCGATGATCTAATGATCATTCATTGTCATAACATTTCCTTCATTGATCCAATCTGTATGATGATCGTCATCGTTGGTACGTCCGCAACGGACTAAGCGTACAAATATCGCGATCGTTGGATATATTATAAATAAAGAGACGGGAAAGGTGGGAGAAGAAGAAGGAGTATGCAGAGGAGAGGAAAATAAAACAAAATCTCTACTATTTTTTAATGTTTCTTCTTTCATATAAAGTAATAAAACAAAATCGAAGAATTATTAACAATTTTAAGATCGTAGATAAGGTCTAATCGTGATTATAGAGTTGCGTTGTCGTCGTCGTCGTTGTCGTCGTCGCCGCCGCCGCCGTTGTCATCGCGTAGGAAGCTGGTGCGCAAGGACGAAAAAGGGAAGTAGAGGGGGGAAGAAAAGGGTATTTCTCCGTCTTGAACTACTACTATATAGTAGTTGGGCGCGCGTGCACGTAGAAACCGAATAGGGTGCAGAGTGGGGGTTGAGAATTGACGACTACAGCGCCAGTGGTGATACGAAACGGACGAACGACAGAGGCAGCGTGGTAGTAGCGGTGGTGGAGTTGGTGGAGTTGGAGTAGTGGTATGGTGGTGGTGTTAGTGGTAGGTAGTAGTGGTGGTGGTGGCTGCCGGCAGGCAAGCAGGCAGGCAAGCAAGCAAGCAAGCATCAGAAGCGGACAGCCAACGGCAGTAGCTAAGAAGCAATCGCGCGTGAGGAGGTGCACACTCCGTATACGCTCTTATGACGAGAGGTGATGAATAGACGTCGCCGTACTTATTCTTATTCTTATTCTTCTTCTTCTTCTTCTACTCGTGTTGTTGTATTTATTGGTTTTAACGATCACCGGAATATTATTAAGAACAACGATATTAACGTTATTACGGAAATAATACAAAGTGATAATCGTCGTGCGCGTCGTCGTCGGCGTCGTCATCGTCATCAACAGCAACAACAACAACAACAACCACAGTGTAATAGTCAACGATGACGACAATCCTACTCGCGGACAAATCGTCGTGTTCTCTTCGTAAGAAAATAGGAAATGCTTGTTTTTGTGCTCGATGGTGTGTTGACTAGTGTTGTCTCTTCTACATAAGAGAATAAAAAAAAAACAAGAGAAGAATTTCATCTTCTCTAAATCTTTATTACTATTATTACTGATACTACGACTATCACTGTTTTTGCTGCTCCTATTGTACCACATTGGATTATTATTCTAACAAATCTACACCTGGGAGTAGTTGTTATCTTCGTGCATCGTCTTCATCTTACAAGGATAATACGACGATCTCCTTATCATTCTTCCAGACACAACATTTAGTTAAAGGTAAGTTCTTTATTCTTAAGTGTGAACCTCAATTAAGCAAGGTTACTAATTTTTCTATCTCATATTTCTTCTGTTGTTTCTTCAACGTTACGTCTTCAACGTCAAGTTTTTGAACGACGCGCGCTTTTCACTCAGCGCGTTATTTGTTCTCTCTCTCTCTCTCTCTCTCTCTGTTGCACCGTTTCTTCCTTTGGTTCTTTCGCCGAGCTTTCAAATTCGCGCGGTTTTACGCGTACATGCATCATGTGTGCACCACACGTACACACACTCTCTCTTTCTCTTATCCTTTAAGGAATAAAATGAAATATTTATTAATTCATTTTTTGCGCCAATCATTTTGTACAGGATCGAATCTGTAAAAGAATATTTTAGTTGATAAAATAATATAATAAAAATGTGAATCACATTAATCGATTGTAATAATAATCACTAAGTGATCACTAAGTGAAGCATGGCTTACCACAACGTGCCGCTGCTAACATTTAGCAACACTCGTAATGTTATAAAAGAGAAAGATAGAGTCTATAAAGTTGGAACGCGCGCGACGAATACAACTCGTTTGCGTGTTCTCGACTCGGTTAGACTACTATTAACCACCACCGAAAGATGTGTTATAAACCATGAAAAAGGAAGGATATATAGTACCTTCTATCTTTGTGTTTTCTCTCGTGCCGAAAGACTCTATAAATCCGTCAGACGGTTTATACTGAATGAAGGGAACTCTATAAACGAGTATAGAGAGAGAGAGAGACACGTCCAGTAAAGAAAAGGATCGCACAAATCCATCACTTTGACTTTTTCTATTCCACCTCTTGCGTTATCACTGGTGCCATTATCTTCACTCACTGTCTGTACATTTGTTTGTTTGTATATAATAAATATACGCGAAACATAGTTATGGTAAAATCCAAAAGGATTTCAATGGAATTCTTGTAGAATAGTATGTACAATAGTACTAGGCATATATGTACTATGATTCATAGCCATAGTAAAAGAAATAACTCGTGTGTTTAAACTCGACTTGTATCGATATACAAAGCGATATACAAAGCGATATACAAAGCGATATACAAAGCGGGTTGTTTGAACTCTTGGAGAGGTACCCCGTAACGACGACTCGCCGCCTACTGCATACGCTATCTCAATTATTCATATGACCGAGGACGAAGCTCGCCGACTTATTTCTATTTTTCCGATATATTGACGTGACGTAGGAGTATTGTCTCTCTCCCTCTCTGTCATCTTCTTGTTTTTATGTTGGATTTGTAAGAGTAACCAGGATGATGGCGCATTACAACAAGGGTGTATCTTCTTGGAATAAGAAAAGATAAGTTTCAAGGTTGAATGGTATTGTTGCTATCATGAAAATCAAACAGCTTGGTTATATCTGTCGATCCTAATGGAAATTCATCGACGTCTATCGTGTTTAATTCCTCGAACGAGCGATAAGACTTTAGCTTCGAGGTGTTACTCCTATCGGTCACGCGCCCACGATATAATCGTTACGTTGTCGTTCGGTCATAATTGGCGTTTTAACTCTCTCTCCCTCGTTCATTTTTTTTCTATGTTATCTGCCGAATAAAAAGAAATACAAAAGGTACTACGCTTACTTGACTAAAGGAATAAATAATATTCGAGAATGACGAACAAAGCCAATCTCTTAATGTAGAAAAACTTTCAAAGATTATCTCGACGATATCGACATGTAGGATTAAATTTAACTTCAACCACGCTTATCAAGCAATACGGAATACATTCATACACACATGCATACTTTTTAATACAACATGTTTCACCAAACTTATTCTCCGACAATCGGCGAGTTTCATTTTGTTATTGTCGATGTAAAAATAACAAAGTTGAATTCGGCAACATTTCGCCGAATTCAACTTTGTAAACAGTTCTTTGTCCGATAGCGTGTACCTTATTACTAACTTTCCTGCTAAGTAAGCCTAAAAAACGCGACTAACATTACTACTACTACTACGACTATTATACTGTAGTAGTAGTAGTAGACATTGGAATCCCTTGACATTTACGAACCACAAATATTATTCCAAGCCTGCGTCCTTGCCGAACGAATTACCAGCTCCTTCATCACGTTTCCATCTTATTTATCCATATCTTCTTACTTGGTATATAGCACCCTTTTATAACAGCCAATAAAGAGCGATCTCGTTAACGATTCAGCAATCGATAATGCGGATATTTTGATGGCTTCTAATTTGTAATGAAATGATCGAATAAATAGAGGAAGAAATTGTGAGGGAAAGAAAGTAAGGATTTGTCTGTCTCTATGTTGTATTGGTGTTTGTTGGGTCTCCTCTGTAAGAATCAGGACAATGCGTCGTTCCGTAATCTTTCTCTCTCTTTCTTTGTACGTGGGAACGATCCTTTTCTTTCTGGGATCGACGCACCAGGTCTCTCGTTTCTAGTCACTCCCCGCTCTCTTTGTGGTGCTCTAGCTGCTGCTAGTCGAGGTCCAGTGCTACTTATTCGAACACCGCCGAAGCTTTCACTCGAATGTTTGCTTGCTTGCCCGTACAGAGACATATTGCTAAGAACAGTTCACATATATGTATGTATGTGTATAAAGAAGAGGTGTATATTTCTCTTGATTGAACTTATCTCTCTTTTCGTTCCGCAGACGCGATTCGAATTATTGCAGTTATTGCAGTTAGCTGTAGAGTTGTTCTCTCTCTCTCTCTCTCTCCCTCTCTCTCTCTTATTCGTTATTACAGCGCAGCTACGATTTTGTTGAAAGCCTTCTAATCTCTATACAGGCCTCTCCTCGCGCGATGGCACAATATCAGAAATAGGTTTGTTAAAATAAGCGTACACTCGATCGCGCATACCGTGCTTCTCCCAGGGACGTATTACGAGTCGAGGTGGGAGGGAGGAGGAAGGGAGGGAGGAGGAAGGGAGGCTGGCCACACTCATCTAGAGATATACCTTTATACTCCTATATAATATAGCAATATTTTATGTATTGGAATTGGTTGGGTCGAGGGAGAGACGTGGGAGAGACGAGGGAGAGACGAGGGAGAGACGAGGGAGAGACGAGGGAGAGACGAGGGAGAGCTGTGCACGCTTTTGCCCTTATCCTCGCGTAGTATACAATCGTGTGTGTATCGATTCGTAATCGATAACGAGATTACAATTTATTCTTTCTCTTTATTGTTTATTTCCTACAACAACAAGCGTTTTTAGTTTCTATTTCAAAGATTAGATGTGATTTGAATGCTTGATAAAGATAACTCTAAATCGTAGTTGTGTTGTTGGTTGTTGTAAAGTTAACAAATTCCTGTATGGCCATTTGACTTTTGTGATGATGATAATGATGATCATTATGATTATTCGTTTAAAGGTATATCAAAGAGCAAGGAGACAAGGTTTTCGTACGCTGCTATTTACCAAATTGGCAAATATCATTGAGTGGGGAATATATCGTCATCTCTTGATTGCGCACTTTTCTTTCTCTCGTACTGCTGGTAAGCGTGGTTACTTATTTGTCAAGGACGAGAGAGCACATAACCGGCACGAATACCTCAAAACCGAAGAGAAGAATTATGTCAAACTGGCCAGAAGCAGCAGCAGCAGCACATTATAAATTCACCTTGATAAACCCGCTGGCACGTATATAGGAAATCGCGCGGCGCGTATGTTGAATTTTGTATTTTATCTCCACACGTGTACGCGAGATAAACGCGTTCGTGTTTGTTTTTCTTTTTTAACCAAAAAACTATACACATTAGGAAAAATTGTTTGATATCTACAAGGAGAAGGAAGAAAAGAATACGCGTGAGAAAACAATAACGATATCTATCGATCTTGGATACGGTTAAATTTCTCAGTAGATTCCATCGACGTGCGATAGCCTATTTACGGATACACACCCGTACCGTTTCTATTTTTGATCCTTCACGACGATAATACACTCTCTCACTACTTACATGAATATCTACGAATAAGCTCGCGAAATCTTTCTCTCGATAACTAACGGTAAAATACAATTAACAATTTGTTTAAAAAAATTGCTCGCAAGAAATGAAGGAAGTGTAAACGACGTTTAGGTATTTTATATAATCTAGGAAGAAAAAGGACAATTCTTTAGCAATTGGTTGTGTTACGCAAAAATGAAAGAAACATGGATTCCAACATTATTTCTTATCCAGTACGACGAAATAATCTGTCTTGTCTTGTGTCGAGGTTTGCATTACGAAATGATTTGTTTTTCTGGTTTAAAAGAGAAGGAAGACTCGGTTATTCTTTCGTTCGTGATAGTGTGCGTCGTTGACATCGTCATCGTTGTTTCAACTTCCTCCCCTCCTCCAGTTCTTTCATCGTAACATCGACGACGACACGACGACGACTACTACTACACTAGGCGACAATAGAAGACAACCTTCGTACATTATATTCCCACGTGCGCGTTCAAGGTGAAGCATAATTAAATTTTCATAATTGCCATGTCGTTGCATAATAAACCATACGCACGAACGGTTAGAACGAATTCGAAAGAAGCGCTTTACGGCTAAGGGCGCCTTCCAATTGGTCGATCACTTGGCAACCGGGTAAACGTGCGCGCGTGGCAACTTTGAATAAAAGAAATTCAAGTGTGTAGTATTATGTTGACGATGTCTGTTAGTCAGCCAGGTAAAGGTAGCCAGGCTAAAGGAGGAGGTAACCATCGAAGCTAAGCAACCAAGCAACGAAGCAACCAAGCAACCCACCCCTACTCTTACTCATTCACACCGCGTGTGTGTATTAAACCGCGACATTAGTGCGCAGACTCAAACAACGCGCGTTTTATGACCGTTTAACGACTCTCTTTCCGCGATCTATAGTAGGAACGTAAAATCACTGATCTTATTTCAACTTGAAAAGATTGCGCGATCCTACAAGCGACTTATTTCAAAGACAATGTTTTCTCATTTTTTAATAAAAAAAAAAAAAAAAAAAAAAATAAAGCATGCATTAAGTAAAGAAACGTAAGGTAAGGTAAAGTAGTTGTCATCGTTGTCGTTTTTCTTGAGTACGCATGTAGGAACGATTTGCCGCAGGCGATCGCGCGTAGCAAGGTCGAGTCTCACCTGATCCGTGAAGACCGTCTATCAGCTGTCATAATACTTGGTCGCACGCTTACCCGTCAGAATTGTTGATCATCCGCCGCCGTTGAGCTTCGTTCGGTTCGTTTAGTTCGTTCTTCATTCCTTGGGTTAAACACGTTGAGAATGTAGAACGCGTCGACATACAAATTCTCTAAGAAAGAACGACGATGTTATCTCCTATCGCGAGTTTCTTATCGTAACCCAACTGAATTCTTTTTTTAAATGTTTTAGATATCCTACTACATTCGGGACAACAACAACAACAAAAAAAAGAATAAAAATACTCGGCTAGGACTTCTTTTTTAGAACCTAGTTGAAAAATGTGATTCGAAATAAAAGATAAAAAGTATATTTATTATTCCTACGTCCACGAGATGAAAAGATGTTTGATTTCAACGTTTACGTTAGGCTTAATCAAGAAATCATCGTGAACTGAATTCATCATTCCTCTTGAAGAATAACGATCTTATTGTTAAAAGAGATAATCGGTTGAAAATAATTTCTATTCGATATTCGCGCGCTTAGTCATTCGTCAGCGATGCGCGATCATCATCGATTTCCTTGCAGGATTGTACCTTCTTCTTTTCTATCGATCTCTTCTAACGACAACCTTGACACATATAGACTCATACTTATTTTCTTATTCCACATTATCGTCCGGCAATCATATCAAGCGTACGACACTTGCATTTTCGTATTAACAGGAAACGAGCTTTTATTTAGCTACTTTGCACTTAAACTTTCTTGTTTCTCTTTCTTTGCATAATTGCGTGAAAACTATCAAAAAGTATGAAACTGGGTACCCATCTCTGAACATAAAGAGACAAAGTTAATCCGATTAAACTCTCTTGATCTTTAACATGATCTTAAAAGAGAAGATCAATCAAGATATTCTGACAATGTGATAGAAAAATACAATTTTTGTGCAATTTCTTTGAAGAAAAGTAGGAACCCTTAAGAATTGTGTCTTCTTCCTCTTGAAGAGTTTAGTTTGTTTTGTTTAGTTTCCTCTCCTCTCCTTTCCTTTCCTTTCCTTTCCTTTTAGGGGTCGATTTAACGACAATTTAACGCGGATGATTTGAATTTGTTTTCACGCCCATAAAAGGTCGGACAAAGAATCATTGTTCCGTGTCACTCTTGCTTGTCTCTCTGTCTTTATTTTGTGGAACGGTACAGGATAGATATATGTTGCTGTAAGAGACAGAACGTTGAATCGAGTGATATTTATGTAACGGTCAAAGGGGTTAAGCGTTCTGGGAAAGTTTCCAGAGCAACGATTGGTCGACGGCTTCCGCGATTTCGTCATCGACCAATCAACGCCCCGCGAATACAACTTTCTCCGAATCCTCCGACAGGACGAAACTTATTTACTTAACTTCTTTTTTTTTTTTCTTTTTTTTTTTTTTCTTACACACACAGTATATATAACGACGAAGCGCATAATCATAGATATTGGTTTCCTTGTAAATGAATTTTCTCTGTAGAAAAAGAAAGAAAATGCACTCGTTACAAGCACCTGACACACGAGATTGGCTTGCAGCCAAGTATATGGATCTCTCGGCATTGTTCTAAAAAGCATTTCGAAACTTACCGATATAACATTTCGGTTTGTTATACTTACGTACTTTCAGTGACACAGAAATCGATTGACCATAGGGACGCGGGTATGGAGGCAACCCTCTGAATCATTGATCAATTGCTTCCGTCATATTTCGGGACGTTCAGCTGAAACACAAGGAAGAGTATCGTTCATTTTTTATTATTCCTCTTCCACCCCTTCACCCTCTGCAATATGAATTATTATTAATTACTTTTCTTTTCTTTTCTTTTCTTTTCTTTCCTTTTCTGTTTTCGTTTTTTATCGCATTCACTTGCACGTTTTCCAATAAAATTTCGAAATGTTATCGGCAACTAATTTTTAAACGAAACGTAACGTTCTTACTTACGTGCATACATTTAAATTATCGTAAATTTAGCCTTCTTCCTACTTTAAGGTCGGTAATATCTTGATAAAGATAAAATACCGGAAGTTTTCCATGTAATCCTTCCATAATGGATACACGATTTGATTAATCAGCCAATCCGTTTCCTCGATACCTAAGTTTGTACAAAGATAAAGCACGCTTGTGAGTGGTTTGCTTGTTTTTAAAGTATGTTTTAAGTATATGTGTTTGTGTGTGTGTGTGTTTGTGTATGTGTCGAGACGTCACGTTGAGCATTTTTTATTCGCCTGAACGAACAAAGATGTCGTAATCATGTCGACAGGAAAGCAACTCAAAGAACGGTAAAGCTTCGATGCATTCATTCGTTTGATTCTTATTGCTTATCGTAGAAAACTAAACTTTTTACCTTATTGACGTTTTAATCGATCAGTAGTAGTGGGTTAACGTTAATATTATTGTCAAAGATTCAAAGATCCAAAAAAATTTGGATCGGATCATTGCTGATTCCAGTCATAAAATAACAGAAATATGTGTGTGCATGAACATGTTTCTCTACATGTCATAATTATTAGGTCGTCTCAGAATTGTTTTAGAATCAGACTATGATCCTTATATAATGACAATACTATGTAAACCGTGACATTATATAATCTATTTGTTCTGTTATTATGCTTATTATGAATGTCCACCAATGATGACGACTACGACGTCGATGGAAATCCTTGCAAATGCAAGAGGAATCTGAATAATCCTAAAGAATCCTATCCTATCCTATCCTATCCTTTTTGATGCTTCAAATATTTCAATTCGAAGCTGGTTCATCTTTAATCAATGAGAAAAAAGAAAAGGAAGAGTAGGATTAGATTACAAGAAGGATGTTTCTTTTTTTTGTGTTTCATTGAAAAGCGGAAGGAATGTTAGAGTACTGCGGTCATCGTCGTCGTAGTTTAAGGTAGTGGTAGGGTGGTGGTGGTAATAGCTCTCCGTCAAAATTTTCGCCTCTTTATCTGCCAGAAGCAGATGTTATTTCCGTTCTTACGCGCGACTAACCTTATGGGACACACGTGTCACACACCACTGTATATCTATATACAACGCTACGATTTTAAATATATGATCAAACGTTATTACTACATTATCGAATCGTTTCTATTCGATTATGCATACTTCAATATTATATAATTAGTTAAACCACCACCAACAACAACAACAACAACAAACATTGACATATTTTACAATACGAAAGATTAATTGATTCAATTATCATGGAAGTATTCATTTTCAAATTCACCGCAACTACATTCCTATTTTCTAAACATAAATGAATATATAAATACATGTTCGTCGTGATACATATATACATATATACATATGTGAATACGTAAGTTATATACATGCTAGAGAGATCGACGTTCGAATTATTCTACCGTGAAAGAAGGAAGGAAGATAATGCGATAAAATAAAAGGATACTTGTGCGCTTGCGCTGATAATAAACGTTCAGTGACGTTTATCGTATTAGAGAAGCGTTTGTTAAAGCAACGAATCGTCAGAGTTCTTCACACATACACGCGTACATAAGTTCGTTATCGGTGTTTAATACGTGCGTCGCGATTAAAGTTCATCGATTGTCGTCGTCGTCGTAGTCGTCGTCGTAGTCGTCGTCTTATTCTAGCCATTTAAAAAAGAAAAAAAAAAGAAAAAACTAACTCATAAAACGATCATCATTTGTATATAAGAATGTTTGTCAATTTCTCTTAAAATTTATGATGATTTTCTAATAAGTAGATTTTCGAATGATTGGATAAATATGAGTTACCTTCTTCGTGTATGCGTAGACGACGATTTATTTGTAGTTTGTCGTCGTTGTGTGTTGTGTCGAGGCCACCGACAGCAAAGATGTGTTGTACAATCGTACATGATCTCTCACATGTGCATGAACGGCGCGTACACGCTCGCGCACACTCCTTCCTGCGGTTCACACTGTCACTGGCGACCTTTCGAACGGCGCGAAAAAAATCTATCCCGGTTGCCACCTCGAAATGCCACGAGTATTTGTTGCGAATGACAGAATCCTCTCAACTCTTGAAAGACTTTAAAAGTGAAAGAGAGAAATAGAGTTGATCGAAAGTTAGCAGCAGCAGCAGCAGCAGCAGCAGCAGCAATAGCAACGACAGGTACAAAGGAATCGAATGGTTAGAGATATACCTACCTAATCTCTCTTTGGTCTTTGTAAAAGGACGATATCTTTTTCCTATATTGATTCTTTCTACATCTTGACAAGTAAAATGGCGACGCAAGTCAATAAGACTATCCTTAGTGTTGCATACATTTATATTTTACATTTTTGTTTCTGTTTTTGCATATAATACTATAGTTTTTAGAGAGAGAGAGAGAGAGAGAGAGAGAGAGAGAGAGAGAGAGAAGAAGAAGAATACAAAAGCTCGTAAACGTTCGTTCCTAGGTAGGCACCTGCGGTTAAGCGCTTGTTTTCTCAGGAGTGAGTTGAGTATATTTACGTACGTATTGTTACTTGTGTAAGAAACACAGAGAGAGGGAGAGAAGCTAACCTGCGGAATGTGTTGTACAGGAAAATAATAACATGGATCTTCTCGATCTTTGATGAGTTAGAACATACCATGATGTGATTTCAAGCTAAGAGTAGGGAGACAAGATGTCGAATGTATTATTGCATTGTGTGTGCAAAATTCCAAAATCTTCTAAATTAGAGTATTCAAATCGTTCATATCTTTAGACCGGTTATCTTAATCTATGGTAACAAGTAAAAAGGGGTGTAAATCGTGCATAAAAAAGTTATTATTATTATTATTATTGTTATTATTATTGTTATTATTATATGGCTCTCGTATCGATGCACTCATTGTTAGGACACGTGTCGTCGTCGCCTCGCGCGATTCCAGTTACGGACATAACCGGTTTTAAGAAGGAGGCACTCCCGATTTCCATATTGACCGAGCACTGTTTCTCTCCTTTGCTCGGCGACGAATCTCAACCCGTCTGCTCTCCTCCTCCTCCTCCTCCTCCTCCTCCTCCTCCACCTCCTTCGCAAAAATAAAATGAAAAAAATGTCTTTTGTCTCCAGGATGCACACACATGCATCCAAAAATAACGATATAACGATGGAGGAGGAGATCAAAGCCCCCCTGCACAAAAGTGTCGATCCTGGATCGCTTTCGCAGCACGGAACGCGCGACCTCGGAACGACCAACACTCTTGTTTACGTGTCGCGAATCCTCCTTTCCATCCACCTTCTTCTTCATCTCTTTCTCCATGAGTTGTGTGTCCTGATTTTAGTGTGAAGTCTTGCGATCGGCATCCGCCGCCGCCGCCGCCACCGCGTTCCCTCTCATCATCACCCATGAGGAGGAGCACGCGCTCACGTCCGCCTGCTGCCTCTCCCTCCCACTCTCTCCCACTCTCTCCCACTCTCTTTCTTTCTTTCTTTCTTTCTTTCTTTCTTTCTGTTCGCGTGGCTAACGCCGATCTTAACCGAACTCCTCCGAGAGACACGGCTATTATATATTGTGTCGGCCGTGAAAGAACAGAGAGAATCCATTTTATAAATCTCCTGAAACACGTATCTCTCCAATTTTCTCTCTTTCGATCTTTGTTATTTTAACAAGGGAAAATCACTTTGAAAGTATCAATAGTAGTAAATACTAATATGTATATATGTATGTGCAGGCAGGTAATATACACACATAGTAGGATATAACGTGTAGAGATTCCTATTTCGAGAAATCTCGAACTCTCGAAAATTGGAACGAAAGGAAGAATCCGTGTGCGCTTCTCTCTCTCTCTCTCTCTCTCTCTCTCTCTCTCGTAGAACTGGATCTACTTTCGAATGGCCTCGTTACGCGACAATGAGCTACCAAAGACGAATGTGTGCGTCCTCTCTTCGTCGTGTCATTGTACATATGCATGTGTATGAATATACATAAATTTAACGCTCTCATAGGATTCGTTTCTCGTGCCCTTCGTCTCCCGTTGGGTTTCCTCCATTCTTGTTACTTCGAGAGATGTTTCCACCATTGTAGAGAAAACGAGATCGTTTCGTAGAACGACCAGAGAGGAAGGGTTATATTTTTTCTTTTGGTCGATAATAACCAAAAGAGGAAGGAAGTTTGATGTATTCGTTTGTCACGTATTTAGAAGAGAAAATAATCGATGGTTAATATCCTTAAAAGTTCGTTCAGCTGGTTCGCGACCTCGAACGCTTTTTAGCAGCCCCCATAGTATTGGGGCTCTCTTCTCCCCATTTTACTGCTATTGCATCCTCTCTCTGTCTCTCTACAAGAGAAACCACGTTGCGTCTCGTCGTCTACGTCGTCGTTCTTTCTCTCTCTCTCTCTCTCTCTCTCTTTCTCTCTCTCTCTTTCTCTCGTTGTCGAGCGCAAGCTGTGTGTTAGGGCCTTTTGTTGCGTGCCGAGTAGGCTCTAGTTGACGAAATATTGACATCCGAGAATAGAAACCCGTTGTGGGCTGCTTTACCGAGGGGTTCGCCACCGGATGGGGGAAGAAGGAAGGGAAGAAGAAGGGAAGAAAGAAGGAACACAACGTTCGATCCAAGTGGAGGATGAAGAGTATACTACTACGTGTATATATATATATATATATATACATATAAAAGAATGAGAAAGAAAGAGAGAGAGACGAACGACGAACCAACGAACGAACGAACGAACCAACCGAGGTTCGGTTGGGTCGCTCTTTGCATTGAGCACAAATTTAAAGGGGGTGGGACGTGGATGACGTCAACCTCGGAAACTCTCCCTCTCCACGTGCTATATCGGGACGTGTACGCTGAGTGCGTGTTACATGAACGGGCGCATATGTAAATATATATATATATATATATATATATATATATATATACATATTTTTATATATATATATACGTGTGTACTATGCGCACACACGTGTACGCACATACTTACACCCGTTTCTCGCGACCTATTGAATTCCCACGAGAGTCTATTATTCTGGATTTGTTTTTGTTCAATGCGTCGTAATCACGTCTACAGAGAGACCACCACACAACCACGATGGCGACGACGACAACGATACTTCGATGGTTCTCTTCCTCGATCTTATCTTCCTTAAATTTAACGTCGTCCTTTCTTTTATTCGTTTTCTTTAACGAAGGAACATTTTTAAATATCGACTCTCAAGATTTCTATCTTATCGACGACAAACGCCATCTTAGTTTATTTCTCAAAGTTTTATTTATCAACAGAGTTGTAGAATTGGTAATAATTTAAATACAAACGTTATGGGAAAACATTTAAAACTAATGCCACATGATTAAGTTAAGTAGAAAAGAAAAGTTAGGTCTATCTTAGATTGTGCCTTGGCAGGACGCTCGCTCGCACGCTGTGTTTATAGCGGCGGTGTGTGAATAGCGAGCACGTGTATTTCCCACAGAAAGGCAATGGGGGCCTATATACGCTGCTATGGCGTGGCCAGCTGGAAGTATCAACGGTTTGACGCGGTTCGTTCGTTCGTTCATTCGTTCGTTCGTTCGTTCGTTCGTTCGTTCGTTCGTCCTTTCTACCTATATATGTTATGTACTGTACCTTCTCATTCGTTTTGTCGAATGAATTCTTTCAATGTCCTTGCGTTAACCCTTGCACTATTCTTCTTCTTCTTCTTCTTCTACTTTATAACGGGATGAGGTTTTTACTATAATTTGAAACATGATACTGTTTGCTTTTAGCTTCTGGTATATTAAAAATGATCACTATCTGTTTTTATTACTCCGTGGTTATATAAATTGTAATCACTTAAAAATGATGATCATGTAATACGTAGGTGGTATCCATTTAAACGATAAACTAATCGGTTCGGAATAATTGTGTTTTAGAATTGTTGGAAGACATTTGAACGTTCCTACTCGTCAACTACGCGAAAACTCGATATTTTTTCAAGAGTCGGTACCTAAATAATTATCAAAAACGGCGGCTATCGGCGTCGGGGTGCAACCTGTGTTATCATCCGGCTATCATAACACAGTGCCACCTCAGAGCGGGGGTGGTGGTTCGACATTTAGTGCCGCGGCGATGGTGGCAGCTGCCACCGCTACGGCCACCGCCACAGCTAGCGTGGTGGCCATGCAGGACCGCCAAGATATCCCCGCACAATTCAATCAGGTACACTACGATAAGTACCAACAAGATAAGCGCTTATTCGATAAGTAATCGCTAACTTCAAAATCAATTTCCTATGTTCCTTATTATAGATGCAAAGTCAACATGGGATACCACCCCCCCATCAAGCGTACAACACTGGGTACGCCCAAAGAGGACCAATGGCTGGAATGGGGCCACTTGGAGTGAGCAATTTTAACGGCATGGGCGCCATGAGCCCAATGCATTCTATGAATTCCATGAATTCGATGAACAGTATGAGTGGGATGAACTCGACAATGAATCCTATGACACTGGGAAGCATGAACAGCATGAACGGCATGAACGGTATGAACAATATGAACGGTATGAACCCCATGAGCTCCATGAGTAACATGGGTACTATGGGAATGAACAACATGATGGGACCTAACAGCATGCAGATGAATAAGATGAACATGCAGGTAAAATTACTACTTGTTCATACTTTTCTTCTTGATACTACTACTACATAAGTCAAAATCATAAACACTTACGATTGATCTGTTACTCAGGCGCAGTCTCATCAAGGATATCCAAGAAGACTAAATCCATATCCTTCACCAGCCATGCATATGGCGCAAAAGAGGCAGCAGCAAGCTCCTTACGCCAATACTAATCCTGCAGCGATACAGCAGCAAGGCTTTACCCCCATGTCGACGACACAGTATCCAAATAATTATCCGGCTACGGCAAGACCAAACTTCCAGCCACAGTATCAACCGATGCAAGGCATGAATTCCGCCGCGGCTGGTTTTCCACCCAATTCTATGATACGTGGTAAGTTCAAATAATACGTTATCCATATTACAGAAATATATTTGCATTAATATGTCAAGTGAAATTTGTACTTATCATTTATAAAAAAAAAAATAACTATTTTCAAGGGGCGAACATGAGGCAAACGACGCCATCGTATAATACGGCGTCGCAGGCAGCAGCAGCAAGCCAATATTTCAATAGCAATGTACCAGTTAGTATGGGACCTACTACTGTAGGGAACCAATACATTGGTCATCAACAAAATGCAGCTTACGGTGGTGGACAATCTCCGTATGTAGGTGCTGCTGCTGTCGCTGCTGCAACCACAAGTCAGTACCAACAGGATGTGGCGCCGATGAGAACGACGGGAGCAGCGAACATGAACTATCAGCATAGTCCTATACCTGGAAATCCAACTCCCCCATTAACACCAGCGACAAGCATGCCACCTTACATTAGTCCAAATCCGGACATCAAACCAAATTTCAATGAAATCAAATCGCCTGTCAATATACAAAGTGAGCACATACAACAGAATATATATGAAATATTTGTTTTGTTCAATTTATACGATACTTAACACAATGAATCTTTTTGTTAATAGAAGACGATGAGTTAAGATTAACATTCCCTGTTAGAGACGGTATCATTCTTCCACCATTTCGCTTAGAACATAATTTGGCTGTAAGCAATCACGTGTTCCAACTTAAATCAACGGTACATCAAACGTTAATGTGGCGATCTGACCTGGAACTACAGCTTAAATGTTTCCATCACGAAGATAGGCAGATGAACACGAATTGGCCCGCAAGCGTTCAGGTTTCTGTCAATGCAACGCCACTTGGTATTGATCGTGGTGAGAACAAAGCAGCCCACAAGCCTCTTTATTTAAAAGACGTGTGCCAACCGGGAAGAAATACTATACAGATTACAGTATCCGCATGCTGTTGTGTAAGTAACTAAGTAATTACAATTATTAATATTTAAAAACATTAACACACAATTCGTACATATTATTCATAGAAATATTTCTTTTTTTTTTTTTTTTTTTTTTGTTGTTGTTGTTTCAGTCGCATCTATTTGTTCTCCAATTAGTTCATCGACCAAGCGTACGTAGCGTTCTGCAAGGTTTATTGCGCAAAAGATTACTAACTGCAGAACATTGCATATCTAAAATCAAAAGAAACTTTAATAATACGATCTCGAGTAATGGCATTCAATCTGAGAAGGATGTCGTGGAGCAAACAGCACTTAAGGTAAGAATGGTAATATTGCTTTTTTATATTTTTTATATTCAACTTACGTATTTGTAGTTATATAGAAAATATTTGACGAATGTATCATCTTTGTTAAAAGGTATCTTTAAAATGTCCTATTACCTTCAAACGCATAACACTGCCAGCGAGGGGACACGATTGCAAACATATACAATGTTTCGACTTGGAGTCTTACTTACAATTAAATTGCGAACGAGGTTCATGGAGGTGTCCTGTTTGCACGTAAGTATTCCACAATTCATCAATCGATTAATCCTATTAATGATTACTTGAAAAAAAAAAAAAAAGCAAGAAAAAAGAGTATTATTATTATTAATAATGTTATTATATTTGGAATTAATAGAAAAGGAGCTCAATTAGAAGGTTTAGAAGTTGATCAATATGTATGGGGTATTTTAAATACTTTGAATGTAGCAGAGGTAGACGAAGTAACGATAGATTCAGCGGCTAATTGGAAACCAGCTAAGAATTTAGCTAACATTAAGTCGGAAGAGGAAAACGATTGTAAAAGAATGACGAAAGCAATGTCACCTGGAAGTATGAATATGCCTACTATGAATAATTGGGATATGAACCATCAAGCTATGAGTCCCTATTTACCTCCGGACATGAACAGCATAGTAAGCGGTTCGATGATGAACAACACTTCGTCCACATACGGGAATAATAATATCAATAGCAATATCAATAATAATATCAATCACCGAAATTCATCTGGTGGATCATTTGATATTAATCCTGGGACGAATAATACAACCAACAACGATTACAATAATGGAACGGGACCTCTTACTCATTTGAACGAATCTGTGAATTCGTTGGATCCTCTTAATGCTATGGAAAAATCGTTAAATGATCAGGTATGTTTTCCTATCATTCCTAATGGATGGATTCTATTATTCAACATGAATCATAATAAATATTTCATATTTGATTAATAGATGCCGCACACTCCACACACGCCTCATACACCTCACACACCACACACACCGGGTGGTGGTAACAGTGGTCCACCAAGTGTTCCTCCTGCGTCTCAGGAATCTACAGGAAATCATAACACGTCTGGTAGTACGAGTACAAATATAAATAACGATACCGCGGATATACCGTCAGACTTAAATTTCGATCCAGCTGCAGTTATAGATGGTGAAGGTACTGGTCAAGAAGGATTGAATGTAAGTATTAAATAATATAAATAAAATGTGCAATATATTTGAGAGGTGATTTGATTTAGAATGTACCTTATTTCTTGTCCTTTTTTTTTTGTTTGTTTTTCTATTTAGCTCTTGCCGGACAATGTCGTAGATGCAATGGAGCTGCTTTCATATTTAGAAACGCCGGATTTAAATACTCCCCCTAGTAGTGGAGCAAGCAGCGGAAATCCCTCATCTAGCGACGACATATTGGCACTTTTTGAATAAAATCTCAAGGAACGAACTGTATTACTTCGTAATGAAATCAAATAATGATCCCGAAATCACAGGGGGGTTATGCGATCATCAGATTAGCATCCTACTGAGAATAATTAACAATTATTTCGATTTCTATATGACGATAATCGTGTTTGAGGGATATAAGCAAATGTGTTGGATATTCACAGTGGGTGCTCTCACCTAATCAATGGTACAAACAATTTTAGCTCTAATTGTAATAATTCCTATTGAAATGAGTTAAGGCATATGACTAGGGTAATGACGACTTTTAACATTAGTAGTACAGCAAACACACGATAATTAGTGCTTGTTTGTAAAGATTTTATTGCATGGATGGCAGGCACAATAGACGACGACGACGACGACGACGACGACGACGACTTATATTAAGATATGTGTTAGTTTTAATGAGTAAATGTTACATTATAATTTATCGGTCAAAAATTATTCTAATCGATTTAAATTCAATTAAACAACATAATATTTACAGAAATCCAATAAGGATTTTATAAAGGATGACACATTTAAGGAGGGTGGGGGGGAGGGGAGTATCTTTTTCTGTTTAAGAATTTAAATCGAAACATTTGCTCATTAGAACACACACACACACACACACACATGGAGTGCCACTTCAAACATTTTGAAGTTTCCCTGCATTATCGTCTTTACGTAAAAGATCGGTCTACTCGCGTTCAAGGCTATGATGGACCTACATCACAACAGAACTATAATATAAATGTACAATACCTCTTGTAAATAAGTTTTAATCCAATTAGGTGATACGTTCATCTGTTGTGAACTACCCTGCTTATTAATGGATATAGCGCATATAGTGTTCCTTTCCATTAGATAAATAGTAGAGTATTCATGGGAATGAATAATTGAGGGGATATTGGGCTTCACACTGGAGATGTAGACGATGTACATTCTTCAAGATGTATCTCCTGAGAAAAGAAAAAAAAAGAAACAAAATTTAGATGCCATTTATGATGATGATGTAGGACAAAACACGTATTGAAAACTATTTTTCTTTATTTACTTTTTATCGCGCTATTTTACTTTATTTTTTAATGTATTTTATATTTCAACCAATTTTTCTTCTATATTTGACTTGGTATATCAAATGAATCGGATAGTCATTAAATAATAAATAAATAAATACAAATCGTCAAAGTTAATTGAATATAAACTTGTACGAATAAAAAAAAATAATATGATTCATAATATACATTTCATTTTTAATTGAATTTAATTTTAAAACGATCAACAACAACTTTAAAGTGAAAACAAAAATGTTAACAAAATGAGAATAAAAATATCTTCCAAACTGTAATATTAAAAAGCGTATTACAAGTATTAATATCTCTGAAGATACATCCAAATGTTCATATAGAGTTTATTTTCACATTTCTCTAACTGATGTTTGCGTTAATGGTTTGAATTTACTTTCAAGTTGTCTCTTTTCTTCTTTTTAATTATTATTATTATTATTATTATTATTATTATTATTATTTTACTACTATTATTACTACTACTACTACTACTACTACTACTATTATTATTACTATTATTATTACTATTATTATTATTATTATTATTACTACTATTATTATTATTATGTATTGTGATAATTCTTATTCAATTATCGAATAATTAATTATTAATGCACAATAAATAATACGAAATGTCAAATATGTAAAAAGGTCAATTAGAAAAATAATGTAAATTACTAGAAAGAAGAAATACATCCTGAAATGATAATGTGTAATGAAATTTTTGTTAAGAGATACTGAATCAAATTAAGTTATACTGATATATATATATATATAATAATATCTTTGTAAAAAAGGGGGGGGGGCACGCGAAATATTGTTATCAATGAAAAATTGAAAAAGCGATGATTTATATACGATGAAAATAAGCTCTATATAATCTTTCGCACAAATGTTTTAAGAATAACAAAATTCATTTAATGGTTCTCTTTTTCTATTAAAAATTCCAAAGTAAAAGTAAAAGTAAAAGTAAAAGTAAAAGTAAAAATCAGTTGTATCTGCCTGAATAAGATACTGCCAGAGTGATACCGCCCACAATTTCCCCGCTTGTGTAGTGGTTATTACAACAACAACAACAACAACAACATTTGTATCTTTTTTGTGATTGAAAAAGAGAAAAACAGAAAAGAAGAAGAAGAAGAAGAAAAGAAGAGAATGAAAGAATGAAAGAATGAAAGAAGGAAAGGAAAAGAGAAGAAAAATATACTTAAAGTGATTCATTGTAGATTATACAAATTTTATATAAAAGTGTATTTATGATATATATTATCAAACAAGGATGAAAGAGAGAGAGAGAGAGAGAGAGAGAGAGAGAATTAGATATCTCTGCGGTAAAGTTTCTATTCCTATAAACTACTATAATATTATTATAATTAGATTTTAATATTACTTAAGATTAAGTGCGATCTATTGTATAATATTTGTATATATGATATAAATAGAATAATAATATAAGTAAAATGGCAGATACTTACTGGCCAATAATAATAATAATAATAATAACAACAACACAACAACAACAACAACAACAGTGATAATTAATAATTATCCTATAATTATTTCTCAGAACCAAAACAATGAAGAAGAAACGTATGAGAATACCAACCTCTTCTATATTAGATAATGGTAATAACATGTACATGACTAAGGATAGATGACTAAGGTCAGTCAATAATTGTACTGTTATTTCTAATAGAATGATTACTTAATCATTAAAGATCTAACTTACCTAAAAAAAAGAAATGAATTAATTGCAAAGTGTAAGCTTTACTTAGGATTGCCAAGAAGTGTAGCATAAGCAAAGTCTCTCAGTCACAGTGCGATTGTACATAGGCAAACATCTACCTATACATACTTAGAGTAATATCCTAAAATAACATCCTACACATGGTCTGTCTTGGTTTTTAAGAGGCGCAGAGATTTATATACATATGCTGCTTTATACGCAGACGACATTTCTTTTTATACTACTAAAAACAACAACCAACAAACATACAAAATGAATTATTCTTTTGTTTTCTTATTGTTTTTCATTCATTCTCTACTATTCAACTATTATCATTTTAATACAACTTTTACAAATCAAACTAATTGGCTTTTATATCAATCTATTTTTACGATTACAAACAAACGACCTCATTTGTGAGCTTGTCCTACACAAATTTCATTTGTTTGTAATTCCTATTGTGATGATGATCATGATGATGATGATGATGATGACGATGATATATATAATTAATAATATGCTTTATTATATATACATATACATATATATATATTGAGATAAAAAAAGAAAAGAAGATAAAGAAATGAAATTCTCTAAGAAAGAATTTATTTTATAGAAGAAAAAAGAAAATACCTTATTGAAAATAAAATGGTTGCATTTATGTTTCTATGAACCTAGTTTACGTCACGTTTCAAATTCGGCTTATACATATACATATATACGGATCTTTTCGATTCATTTATATGCACAGAAATATTTGTCAACTATTTCAAACTTGATTTATTAAAAATATGAAGAAACTTGTTTATATTAAATAATGAATTACTTTGTACGATTAAAACATTAAAGTAACGTGAACCTTTATTCCTAACGGTTTTCCCTCCTCTTGATGACGTATAGTACCACTAAAGTCAAACACCCTACTTTATCGGTTTAAAAAATTAACAAATTAAATTATACAATTATTTAAAAAAAAAAAAAAAAAAAAAAAAAATGAAGATTATTGATATTTTATCATTTTTGTGTGTAAATTAAATTATTTTTTAAGTAGAAAGTTTCTTCATATTTTTATTAATACAAGTTTTATGTTGGACAATGAAATTTAACGGTTAAGTGTATATATTTGAATTGAATACGCTATATATAGGGTGTGTATATATGTATAAATTAATTCCAGATCAAATAATAAATCTCTACGACTCTAATATTATATATACTCTATAAAATGTTAGAGGGCTATATAATTTTCATCTTATTGTGCATCAGACGAAATTGTTCGATTACAAACAAACAAACAAACAAAAAACAAAAAAAGGATATAAAATAATCGTCGCCTTTTCGAAGGATTGAGATATTTAAGAAAAAAAAGAAAAAAAAAAAAGAAAAAACCAATTCGACATTGTATTTTCATGCGCTGTAACACAGTGACACTGATAATGTATAAAAAAAAAAAAAAAAAAAAAAAGAAAAATGATAGGAATGAAATACAATACAATACATAAAGAATATTCCTTAGCACCAAATAGATAAAAAAAAAAAAAAAAAACTTGATAGAGAAAGGATCAATTAATAAGACTAGTAGATATCAATTTGCATCTCTTGAATCACCTCCAAACTGAATCATATCAAGCATTAATTAGATTCACGATTAAACGCATTAATTAAAATACACAGAGGAGACGCGCGTGCGCATAAATGGCGTCAATTTATTCGACAAATTTACCAAAGTAAATAATAAGAATAATAACTATGGAAGAATTAATCAGTCTTAATCCCCAAACGCATACATATTTGCATCATACATACATACATACATATATACATACATGCACATTAAGGAAATACTGTAATATCATTGGTTGCATCGCCGTAAGAAAGGTAACAAAAAAAACAATAAAACAATTTTAATATGTACACGAAGAAGACCAGTTTATAACATGTATGAGAGACACACATTGTTTCTTAAAATAACAGTTAGGAACATTCAATAAAAAAGCCATAAAATAACTATTGTCTATGGTCTTTCTACATTTTCGATCCACTTTAATTAAAGGTTTTCTATATAATGAAAAAGACAAAATAAATCAAATACAATGAAACCATTTAAAAAATTAGATCGATCGATGATTGGTTGTTGCACTTTGACGACGACGACGACGACGACGACGACATATTCGTAACGATTTTCTTTGAAATAAATAAATAAATAAAAAATAGATATTTTTATAAACATATATTTAATACCTTAAATATTTGAAGTATGAATTTTGTTCGAAAATCAATTTTTAAAATGATTGCCGTAGTATTGCCATAGTAATGATTTGACATAGTAAAAATAACAAGTAAATTCTATTCTCTTGTCACATTCGATTAAATGGCAACAAAATAAGAAAATAAGAAAATCAGAAAATAACCTTTTCTTGAGTACTGATTGTACTACAATCTGCTAAGCATCTTCCTCCATTGGTCCTCTCTCCTCACCTTTTATAGATTACTCGAGTAAGGTGCAGCTAGGTAAAGGATTGACCTGTTACCATGGAAACGCATTGACCAATCATATTTAACTAAAAAGAGATAAAACATCGTCGTTCCACCGTCCTATCTCTTCTTTTATCATCTATCAAGTTTTAATAATTCAACAATGGGATCCAGCTGTCGAAGAACGAGTTCAATTTGTTATTCTTATATTTTCTAATATTATACTTTCAACGTCAAGAAAATTCATTCATATTTTCATTGTCAATTCGTAATCATATATTTACATACAATAAGATTTGTATCCAAGTCAAATAATTATATCGAGAAAAAAGATATGATAGGAAATCTTGCTGCCAAACTACGATTACTTTTGCCAGATAAAACAGTAACAGGTATATTTCATGTTGTTTTTCTATTAAAACTTATATATAATGAACAAATAAATAGTGCAATAATGTTCGACGTTATTGTTACTCTAATCAAATCATTTTTTGTTGTTGTTATTTCGTTAATCAACAAGTTATATATACTTTAAGGAAATTTATATCATCAGTTGAGTTTTGTCTTTATTTATTCATGTAGAATTTTTTTTTATTGTTATTTTTAATTTAATAGCATACCATAAGTACCAACAAAGTCTAATCATTTCATTGGACTATCTCGCATTAAAAGGGAACTTTTCAATTGGAAACAGACAAAAGGAAACATTGTTGGATTGTATGATTGAAAAGGAAGTATTAATAAAAGTACATTATAATACTGTTCTATCAGTACAAAAAAAAAAAAAAAGAAAAAAAAGTAAAGTAAAAAAAGCCAGTAAAATAATAGGAATTACATGATTAGTCAAAAGTAAGGATTGTTCTGTTTATTTTTTAGTTTTGGTATTTTGTTTGTTCGTTCGTTCGTTAGTTCGTTTTTAGTTCTTCTATATTTCCTCGTAACTTACTACTTCTTTTTCTACTTACTACTCTTATTTCGTTAACATTGACATTTATGAAACTAAATTCTATTTAGTTCTATGCGATTAACTATATTGTATGACAACTTATGCTTAGTTCTTATTTACTACTTCTGTAAATATCATAACGTCTAAATATCCTATAACTTTATCAATATGCTTACTTAATACTTACTTACATTGTCATTTATAATAAATACTATACAATAACTACTATGTATATAAATATTGTAACTAATATATTCATTCATTGAGACATTTCTTAGCTAATGCTATTTTCATTTGTAGCCGAACAATGGAAACTTTTGGGTCAAGAAAAAGATGGATCTTTGCTTATTTGTTGGCTGGAAGAAAAATTATTACAAGACGATACAGTTTTGCAATATACTGTTGTAGGCCATTACGACCGGATTAAAAATAAATTACAGGTAAATAATGTTGCATTTCTAATTGTATAGAATCAACGAAAGACAATAAGAATTATCTTTTTTTCTAGATCCTACATCGTTTTCAAATGATATTGAATATTGTTCAAGCTACAGTTAATCAAAGCTGTTCTCTACTTGGCTATGTGACTAAGCAAAATTCGACTATCGAAAAACTACTTGTAGAATCTACTGAAGAAAATAATTCTAAAGTAGAAGAGTCAACTGTAAATGTAGAAACTTATCAAGCGTATATAATGAAACTTGACACAGAAAAACTCTACGATTTAGAAATTGAAAGATCCAAACAAGTGCGTATTCAATTCTTATACAGAGAGAAATTACAATCTACGACAGATAAATTTTTATTATTACTTCATCAAGAATGTAAGTATGTACTAAAGTTACCATTAAATTCTTCATTTGAATTTATTTTACTTTTCTCATATATTAATATTATCCTTTTAATTGTATAGGTGTCATGATATATACTGTTGTATTTGATACATCAGCAGAAACTTTATGGGAAATACAAGAATTGAAACACGAGGAATTAGTCAAAGAATTTGTTTGGGCTCAATGGGATATGACAAATCAAGTCTTATATCATATTCATCATAGAAGAATTCCTACGAGTTTAGTGAGCGAAGATAACGATGAAAATAATATGAAATCGACTCGTTCTAATCCAACGCTGAGTGGACTGCAATTTCATGATGATCTGCCACATGAAACAGTGGTAAATATTTCATTATACAATAAATATTTTTGTCTAGCCAACTGTTTATTAAAATGTTTTCATTTTTAGATAAATATTCCTTTAAACTTACCTCAATTATCAACTACTTCCAATTGTGGGACTTACGAAGATGACGTTATACCTTTGAGAGTTCATGATTGTTCTTTAGACCTTATTGTAGTATCAGATTCCAAAGGAATGGTCTGTGTTTGTCATCATTATTTATATAGACCAATGAAAACACAACATGTACTTGGTTCTTTAAATGAATCTAATACTGTACACTTTGCATATTCAGTAACACTTCTTCATCACAGTTGTGTCATTCATTGCGTTATACCAGGCATACCATGGTCACGAGCTAAACTCATAAGACCAACCTTTGCAATATATCAAAATCATTATATGATTGTATTCGTGCAAGGTTTACTTATACATCTTCTTGAAATAGGACTCAATCATGATCCGTGTTGTCATATATTATGTGGTTCTTCAACACCTGTTGTATCGCAGCATGCTTCTTATTTAGTACCACTACTTGATCTACAAAATATGGAAGAAGGAAATCATAAGAAGCAAGAATCATCATCTAGTCTTCATCATAATATTGCAGAAAATAAAATTGGCTACTTAGATGGAAGTAGTATATTTTGTAATTCCGGTTCCAAGATCTTAACCATCGATTTACCTACATTAGATCTTGTAGAATTATCTATTTCTAGTGATTTTCTTGTGGACATTTTTCGTAAAGAAAGTTCTGTCGAAGTACGCTTAGGAATTTTGCATTACTTCATTTGCCATAAAAATGATATGGAAATGATTGCTGAATTAGTATCCATCGTGGCAGAAAAACCACGATTATTGGAGATCGTACGATACATGCAAGAAATTCTCATTGGCGGATCGTATACACTCGTACAAAAGAATTTACTTGCAGATGCTATGCCTTTGTTAACGTTATTACCTGTTACTACTATGGAAGAGTACATGAGTTTTGAAATAAAAGTCAATGATTTAAATATAACGTTGAGCCATGAAAAATTATGGAATACATCGGTTATGTTACTTTCACCGCAACAAAGATTAGTTCCTTATCAGAGTGATTTGTGGACTAGACTTTGGGAACAATTAAATAAAAATATTAAAATTAAAGATAAGCCAAGATTTCAGCCGAGCAAAATTGCGGAGAAATTGTTAGTCTCGTTGGCGTGTTATCAACCAGAGGCATTGTCCAGATGCAGTACTCCTATGTCTCCAAGTGGAGGGTAATATCATCTAACGTAACACATAACGTAACATTATCTTCTTTTTTATTTCATATTACATATCTGACTAATATATCATTTAATTATTAAATATACAGATTTGTTATGGCTACAGTTGCTCTTGGAGATTTATTAGGTAATCGTAGCAACAAGTTATTGGATTCCAGTTTACCATTTACAGAAAGTGAAAGTTGCACTGCTTCGAAACAAGAACATATCGTCTCTGTTAATTTACGCGAGCTTTCAATGTATCTTTTGAAGAATGGTGTACAGTCATCTACGTCGTCTCATATTCAGGGTTCTTCGTGCACAGCTTTACAAGTTCATGCAATGGCCACGAGATACGTAGCTGCACAATTAGAAACATCACGTATTTTGTGTCACATGCTTTGTCGAGCTGCTAACGTTGATTTACGAATTGAACAAGAACGCGGTTTTATGCTTATGTAAGAAGAATATGCCTTCACAATTATTTCTGTAATGTTACAACAATGATGACATGTGATTTACAAATGATATTATAATACTTATGTGTCGTTCGTCGTTTCAGTGATCAATTAGATAATGGAAAACGATGGTTATTATTTATGCTATTGGAGCGTTACAGATATGCGTTAGAAAATATAGCATATCCTGCTCCCCAAGGATTCACTTCCTTTTTTACATATCTTGGATATAAAACTTTAAATTATTCTATGTTTGTACAATATGTTCAGAGAGCAGTATTTGAACTTCAAGTAGATGTTACCAAAATTATTATGGCAGGTATATATCGCTGCCATTCATTCACATATTATATAGATATGTTGTTTATTATAAATGAAAATCTATTGTGTTATAATAGATATAAGTGATACAAAAGAAAATACTATTAAAAAATTGGCTCTACTATCCTTGCTACCACGATCTCGAGCAAAAAGACTTTTAAATCAATGGTTACATCCAGTCAGTTTTATGCTAAGAGCTCGCGAACATGCAGCTAATATTTTATCCGGTGAAGTAGCACAAAATCGTGCAAGATCTTTCCAACATCGTAATAATCATAATGGTAAGTATATCTCAAATAATAACTTCAATCATTTATTTTATTAACAAGAACATTTGTTTCTAGGTTTAGCTGCATTTCCTTCAGCCGATCGTTTATCACCTTTAGATACATTTCTTGATTTACTTACTGCTAAAGGTACATTTAATAATAACATTTAATATAAACCATTTCTATTTAAAATGTAATACACAAACTAATAATGCTTATTTGTACTATTATTATTTTAGCTAGTCTTGCCGAATTAGATTTTGGTTTGCTTATGGAAGCAACGGTAACATCCACCGAAGATTTTTTATAATTAATAATCAATGGATAATAATGCATTTGTATTACCATCATTATTTAAAGAAAAATGTTGTTTAATCGTATACATTGTTCTTTATTCCATTAGATTTTATTCTGATATAAATACATATTATATTTTACATCATTTTCTAATATAGATTGTCCAAAAAATATTGATTTTCTTATAAATACACTCTTTTTGCATTCGGACGTAATTCAATATCTATATATCTATATATATAGATAGATTTATATTCATAAATTAAATATATGAACAATAATGTAAATTTTATTTATGTAACAGACAGAATTAACATAATCGCTAGTAAAAATCTCTTTATCCGTAGTTATTAATTACACATTAATTATTTAGAAACTTATGACAAACGTATAGTACAAATATTATTTTAAATAAAGATTATTATTTTATTTATGTATAAAGCTTTCTCTGTTGTGTGTTATGTGCATATATAATATATATTTTATGGACATTCAATGTCTATTTTTAATATGATTTGATTTTCGGCAAAAAAAAAAAAAATCGATAACATGTTATACTATTGGGGATTATTTTAGACTGTAGAATCGTAAGTATAGTACGAACTATACTACATTTTGATATTCATTTTATTATAGATATTATATTTATTTGTTGATTAAATTTGTTATAGAGAAACTAATTATCAAATGAACAACTAATCAATTTAATACGTTTTACAGAAAATAAATAAATAATTATTTGTTTACAAGATGATGGGTCAACCAAGAGGAAAGAGACGATTATTTTGTAAAATAACTTCAATAAAATAAGTCCATACAATTTCTCATTATTGTCTGTAATCAAATATATTAATATTATCTAATACTTGATTGATAATTGAGGGGAATGATAGTACTCTTCTTTTTGTCTTGTAATATTTTATGGGAATATACAAAAAAGGAGATAGAATAGAAATAATTCTTTACATTGCAATGACATATTTCGTACTTGTGATTAAAAAAATTACATTGTTATTATTATTAAGTAGAAATAAGTGTTATTATACACAGCTTAAAAAACAGTCTCCTATTATATTAGTATTATTTTAGAAGATAATCGACTAATTCCTCGCAAGCGAATCATTTTTCAATATTTCATTGATTATCTGTAATTATTTAAAGCCGTCTATTTAAACTTAGAATTTGTATTATAATAAACAAAAATAGAATTATGTATTTGTATTATTGAAAGAAAAATACTAAGTAAGGTAAGATAACATAGAAAAAAAAAGAAAAAAAAACAACTTGTTAATTCTATATATGTTGTTTATAATGTTTAAAAAAATAAGATTAAGATAAAAGAAAGATGAAATAAAAAGTATCATTGACCGTTAATTCTATATATGAGATTGTACACACATCGATATACTTTGATGTATTTTAACAGCAAAACAAACAAGCTTTGTCTCTTATTTTTGAACAAGCGTACAAAAATAATTACCTGCAAATTGTAATAAACACACGTAAAATTATTAATATGTTACATATCTCACAAAGTAATAATTACAATCGTTTGTTGCATAAGATTTCAGTGTTTTCAAATGAACGTTTGTTTCAATTATCAAATCATCGTGTTAAACGATTTCTCTTTGTTTTTATTTTCTATTAAATAAATTAATGAAGAAAAAAAACTAAATGATTGTAATTGAACGATATTTAAAGAGATATGTATATTAATGTTATTATAAATTAATGTGTTTTCATTGAAAACAGATCACATATTATTTATATTTATGATAAAAGCTTGTGTGCTTGTGTGAGACGACAGCGAGCAAATATCAAATACGAATGTTGAACGCTGAAATCTTAGCTCTCTCTCTTATACACAAACACATTATAAACTGTATATATTTGTGATTTAATATTAATACAATAATCTAATCAACAGTTATGCAAAAAATATAATATAATATAATATAATAATAATAACTTAAATATCTTTTTCTTGTAACACGTTCATTCATATGTCGAGTAGTCATTTAAATGTCTCATTCTAACAGCACATATTTATTATTATTCCCTTCAATGAGTTATATAAAAAGAAAAGTTAACGCTTTAATAAATCTAACTACACTGCGTAAAATAGCGTAAAATAGCCTTAATAGCCTTAATAGCCTTCTTCACACTTTCTTATTGATGTTATATATTTCTATATTTATGTACAAAAATGAACGTATACAAAGAAAATAACTTGGAGCTGCGATTCATTGTATATTGTTTACTTTACTAAGGAAAAAGGAATAAACTAATAAAAGAATAAAATTAATTGTTTTTCTTCATTTCTTATAACTTGTAGTATTATTATTATTATTATTATTATTATTATTAATGTATATAGCTCAAACCAATGTTATTTGATTTATAACTCTATACTTTGTATTGTAAGTAAAGAAAGAAGAGGGAGGAGAGAGAGAGAGAGAGAGAGAAAAAGAAATCTCTTTAATACTACTTCTTATGTTTTACATCCAACAATAAATGTCCGGCATTGTTTTTCTAGGATTTTTTTTTTTCTTCATTCAATTTTATTAGAAATAAAACTAAAATGATGATATATTACCAGTAAGGTAATTAAGAATCCAGTAGTCTTTCCTCCAAAACTAAAATAAAGAAAGAATGTCTTTATCCAGCGATACATAATACAACATTAAAGTTAATTACTTTTTTCAAGCAACTTTTTTTTTTTTATAGACATGATCGTTATTAGTATACAGAAGCATTAATTAGTAATTTAATTCTAACGTTCATTAATAACGTTACATCTACATCAAATATTTATTTGAATAATAATAATAATGATGATAATATTAAGAAAGGCATTTGTAGAATAATTTTTGTCAAATAATTCAATACTTATTATTGTAGAAAAATAAATGAATGAAATTAATAAAACATTTCCAATTGCACTTATAAAATATACAGTAATTAATAGATATCGTTTTTATACACAAAATTAATTAAAGTGTAGGATGATAACAGAAAGAATGCAATGAAACAAGGATCAATTCTTTTTTCTTTTTGTTTTTTATAAGAATTAATTGTATAATAATCATTATATATGTGTATACATTGAAAATAATAATATTTATTAAATAGGCAAAGTTTTGTACAGAATACAAATATACTTTTTTTAGTGTTGTAACAATAACGTTCAAGTATTAAAAGAGTTACTAATGAAAAATAAAAAAAAAAAAAAATAAAAAATAAAAAAAAAACAAATAAATTAATGAAAAATAAAAAAAAAAAAAAATAAAAAATAAAAAAAAAACAAATAAATTAATATATTATATATAGGAAACATAAATGAGAGTAAATAATAAGGAGTACTTTACCTTAACGAGATTTTATGAATCATTTTCATTGCTTCCTACATAAGATTCAAGAAGTGAGGCTTTACTATCTTCTAAATCAAGAGGATCTGAAGAATATAGATTACTTGAAGACACATCATTTGCTGAATTATTAATTGGTGACGTTACGGTAGCATTTAAAAAGATATCATCGTCAAAATCTAATAAATTAGGCGTAGGGTTATATGCCATTAATTCTCCTCCACCGTTTCCACTTAAAGAATCAGCAACTATAATTCATAAGCAATGTTATTAATATTAATGTCTCGTCTCTATATTACTTATTATTGAAAAAGTCATGAAAATATCGTACCTGCAGATTTATCATCTTCTCTGTCGTCGTTTGTATCTAAATCTGAATTAACGGGTATACCAAAAGGCATTGAGGAATCATCAGAACCAAATAACTACAAAATCAATCAATTTCTAAATTAATTGTCAATTCTAACGACTATAAATAAATAACATGTTGTTTGTTTGTTTGTTTGTTTGATTTGTAAAAGTGTAGTTACCCCATAAAATGTGTTTTTACCCTGTTTTGTGTACGTCGTACTCAAAGAAACATATTTACCCCTAAAAATGTATTTACCCCAAGAATTGTATTTGCATCGATACTATATCCCTCACCACGAAGAATATCTCGAAGATTCTCCAATTCCGATTGCATTGTTTCAAGGTGATTATCCATTTCTTCCCTATGGACAGTTTTCAAAGTGAATCAATAAACATTAATATGTCATCATCCATAAAAATGTGTATCCATCTTTGTATAAATGATCTTAAATTGTTAAATGTTATCTGAAAATTATAATTCTTTAAATGAAGAAGTGAAAGTAGCACAAGTAAATTTGTTCAATCAATATTATAAGTTCGTCGATGTAGAAATCAATAAAAAAAAAAAAAAAGTCTCAGAAACAGACAATTAAAACATAACATTATAACAACAAATTATATTACTTGTGCTAAACACAATAAACACATATGACTTAAGTATTAGTTCTATTTATCAAAATATCATCTTATGTTAGTGATGTATTATAATACTGTTATTGTAAGATACTTTTACTATTACTTATGAGTCGAAAAATTACATTTAAAATTTGATCATATCTCTAACAAATAAGAAGACAACAGATGCACGATCTAATTTTTATACTAATTTTTATACTAATTTTTATACAAATAGACTGCAATAAATTTGTATAAAGACTTTTCAAATAATAAAGACTTTACTACATTTTTCTGAGACATACAACTGTGGCTTTTATCGTTCACGTATATTATACATATATGTGCGTGCATGTAATATATACGCATATATATGTAAACATGATTTATTTATATAAACCAAATTTCTACTACAATTCTTTGTACTCGATTAATGCAATCATTATTAAGTATAAAAATTGGTTTCTCCCACCTCAATTTTGTCAATAAAAATCTCCTCTATGATGAAATAAAGTACCATGAATTTGATCTTATTATCCATGGTCTGTGTTGAACTTACATAGATCCTAACCTGTAATTAGCGTCTGATATTGCTGAAGGATTGACACAACTTAAGGATAAGTCTACCGGATCACATCTGTCTGGTTTATTGCTAGTACATTTTTCTTGCTCCAACACGTTAGATGCTTCGCTTTTATCTGCAACAATCTGATTATCTTCATCTAAGATGTTTCCCTCCTTATTCATATTTATTAAATCATTCTGAAGCCTCATAGATTCATTGTCAGAATTGTTATCGCAGTTCTCATCCCTGTTATTATCAGCAACAATCGCCAAACCGTTATTATCAATTACTTCGGGAACAATTAATATGTCTTTAAGTTTCTCCAAAGAAGAATCGCTGCTGTCTTGAATATCATCATCAACTGAAATAGTTGTTTCAAGATCGGTTTCAACTTCGTTGGATTTACTCATGTTAGCAGCCATAGCTGCTAACTTTGTGCTACGAACTGTCGCCAATGGTACTGGTTTAGAAGCTATTGTATTCTTGTCCAATAAAGCAACCGTCACAGGAGAGTCTTCTTCGGTAGGAATTTCGAGAAAATGTATTTCTTCCCTAAAAATTGAGACAACCTAATGCGAATCTTTATTATATTTATTTAATTTCATATGATTGATATACCTTATATACTCTTTCTTTAGTATCTGTTGTCTAATTGTTGACATTTTACAAGATATGTATGAAAAGGTATGTTTGATGATATATATTACTACTATCATGCAAAGTAAATCTTAAATGTAATGTCTCTAACTCAATCTAACAGTATGATGAAACAGTATTATGTTAAACCTAAGCAAGAACTTCATTTCCTGACTGAAGATACATAGCATAGTATATAACACATCAATTAACAACATTGTTCACATTAATTTACCTTACCTATACATACATTTATACATATATATAGGATCTATTTAAATGAATAGTAATCAAAATATATAATATAACTATTACATTGTCATATACATATAATCATGATTTGGTAAAATATGACATCATGTAAAAGTGTGAATATGCATGTATGTCCAGTAACAGCCACATCATTAATTTGTAATAATTACTAATTTGTCTTCATGCAATATCAATATCTACAATATCATATTTGTTGATCACATGTTACTGCCATCAAGTTTCATTTCAATTGCAACATATTGATACAACAAATTAACGTAAATTTATTTAATACTTATATTGTTCTTAAATTTTACTTTTTTTTTTTTGTTTTTTTTTGTTTTATTCCAAAGAACAAATTGTAATCTTTTCATTACAATAAATATCCCAATCATGCAAAAAGAATATTTGTGGAAAGCGTATTTATGAACAAGCTAAGATTTTCATTGAAAAATAAAAAATAGAAAATAAAAAACTTAACAAAGTAGAAAAAAAGAAGAAATAACTTAGAAAACCAACACCAAATTATGTCAAGTGAAAAATGTTAACCTTGACTCTTGTCCATTCTCCGCTGGTGGAATCAAAATTTTGACAGGCATCTTGTTTTTCCTCCTAATAATATTTAAATTGGATAATTATATAAGTATTAATGAAATAATTATGAGAAATATCATTGGCTTGGACAGTAATCATGCACTAATTAATTAATTTATCCAAATAACCATTTAATTAAAGATTATATGTATACACATATACCATCATATCAATTTAATTTAAATATATATATAATAATAATAATAGTGTTTCATAAAAAAGTCTTTCATCATGAAATACTAATAACAAAAGTCGTATGATTATAACGAAAAGAAATATTGAAATTAAGAAGGAAAATGTAATATTGAAGCTAGTGCATTGATTAAATATGAAATGAATAATGTTCTTTAGTGTATTATTGTTTATATAATAATATCTTATGAAATGTATATTAATAGATTAATGTTAATATAATTTTCGAATAAATTGAATAAACATAAGTATACGTACTTTTTCTTACCCTTGCAGGGTCGTTTCTTTTTTGTCTCCGGCTCCAAATTGATATTGTCATTTTGAAAATGAACCGCATTATCCACCAATTGTATGGTTTCCATACCATCATCATCATCATCAATAAATGATGGATTATTAGGATGTTCGGGACTTTCAATTGCCGGATGAGGCTGAGTTTCTAATATTCTATACATTTACAAAATATCATTTGAAACTATTGTAATTAGTTGAAATATACATTTGTTTCTATTTAAAATAATAATAATAATAATAATAATAATAATAATAATAATAATAAATGAATACCTACTCGGCGACTATATATTGAGAATCTAAATCTGGTTCGGAAGAATCAAGTTCATGAATAACAGGCCCCGTTGGAGATGTCTGTGCCTAGATATATAAATATAATTGTTGTTAATTCAAATGAAAAAGAACATGATTCAATAAAATGCATAATAATTACCTTTGTAATTTTACTTCCTTTACACTGAGGATTAGAATCATCTATCATTAATGGGTATCGCCTTTTAACAGAAATACCTGCACTTCTTGATGGTTGCACTAATGTGACAAGGAAATGAATTAATTTATTAACAATTTGTTGCTGTTTTAAGTGTTTTTGCCTAAGCATTGCAATTTCTCTCCATAATGCTTCATTCTCTCTCTTCATGGCACCTAATCGTGAATCTAAATGTTCTTGACGACCCCTCATACTTCTTACTTCTGTTAACATTTTGTTCATTAATTCTGGCTTAATAGGAGTAAGAGCTGGATCTTGACCTTTATTTGATGCAATCTATCCAAAATAATATACATTATATAAATCAAATAAATCAAATAAATCAAATAGCAAGTTATTAGAAACAACTTTGATTTGTCTTATATGCTTTATATGCCAATAAAGTGCACTTACTTTCCTTTTAATATGTTCTACGAGATATGGATGACCTTTGAAAAAATATTGATGTGCAAATTCCATTTCATCCCTGTCACATTTCAAGCCGCCTAATTCTACTGACACTTTTTTATGGAAACCATCTAAAATATCATAAATAACATAATAGCGTTTAATTATAAGCTTTATATGAAATTTGAAAACGTATTACATCTGCTTAGAAATATACATTTTTATACATACACATATTAAGTTGTCGCACAAAACTAGCCATGTTATTATGTTTATAATAATGTGGAAGTAATTCTCTGGCAAATTGTGCCTGATTGCGTATGTAAAAGCTTCGTCCACTCTAAAAAAAACAATAAAAAAAAAAAATAAAAAAAAGAAAGAAACAATTCAACATTACTTAATGGTAACTATATAATTCAAAATATATACGATATATATATATATATATATATACATATAATATATACATAGATATACACGACGTAAATCAACGTTAAAATTACGTTTTCGTTGATTAAACTAATTAGAAAAAGAGTTAACAAAGTAAAAACACAAAAAATTATTTGAAAATGTTAACTGCATTTGAAATGAGTTACAACGGTTTAATAAACCTTAGAAAAATAAATATTTATAAGTAATAAATAAATCGGCGACTTACAGGTGACCAACAAATAAGGTCGTCGGTCTCAGGATCTTCAACAAGTTTCCAGAGTTTAGCAAGAAAGGCAGGTACACCGGTACCCAAATCTGGTATTGTATGCATTTTTATAATTAATCTCAAACCAATAATGATAATTATTGTAATATACTTCTGTTTTAACACAAATATGGAACAACTTTATATTTCACAATAATGGCCGACCACTGACGATGTTATTCTGCTACAAGCATTTAATGAGTGGTGGGGTGAAGAAGGTAAACTACTTTAATAAGCGACCATAGGGACTTTCCAAATGGAATTAATTACTTATATACCAATAGTATTATTAAAAAGAAACCTTAATCGTTGCACTCAAATATTTCTATATTCTATTTGTAATATTTTATGAAATTAATTACAAATTTGGTTATATATTACTTAGTAATATTTTACTTTTGTTACCTAGCCAATCAGAAATCGACTACTTGAAATATCGATGCAATCCTATTGGCTAGAATATACACCGTTAGACTTAATTGAAAGAAAGGCATAGGGTTCCCCTAAAACATTTGTAGTTCTTTTTTTTCTCGTTCTCGTCGCTGATGTCACGCATATCTCCAACGCTATTGGTTGAAATACATTTCATCAACTACTCTACACTTATTTTGAAAATATATAAGATTTTTATATCAAATGTAAAACGATTACATAATGTCATATATTTATGCATGTATGTACATATATTCAGGAATATTTTATTATTATATTATTTAATACACAATGTGAAAAAGGCAGTATGGAACATGGTTAATAGAAACAAAACTTTTAAGTATTATAACAACAATAAAATAACACTTGGAAAACTAAAAATACATACAATGATTCATATTTATTCTATACTTTTGAAGAAATACCATGTTCCTATCACTTTTGTTTCACAAACTTAATTTATATTAAACATACATTGCATATTTTTACATAATATGTCCTTCTATCAATTATAATTATTAAATATTATGTGAAAGTAAAATAAACATGCATTTTTATTATTAATTTGAAATTAATCATAATTATAGGCAGCAGATCTTATTTTAAATGAATATTAAATTTCAAATATCAAATATAACATTTATCGTCTGGTTGACTGTAATATGAACAAAGCAAAATGAATACTTTTAACATTAAAAAAAAATGCGTATAACATATTTTGCTTATTGTTATATATCTTCAATAGAAGTTTACAAAATTTAGCATTTCATTTTTTACAAAACAATTGTACGTTTAATATATATATATATAATTTGAAGATTAACAAAATTTTAAATAAAAATATTTTTAAATTAACTAGTTGAGTATGAATTGGCTTTTTACATAAAATATTTTAATCAGTCACTAGATCCTATCATTCTAAAGCAATATATTATTTTCGAATATAACGAAAAATAGCAATAAATATTTTCTTCTTTTTTCTTGTTTGTTTTTTTTTTTTTTTTTTTTTTTTTCTATATATTGCGATGAACAAAATGAAATGAAATATAATACTTTATCGAAATCAACACAAGGATATTTCAAATATCAAAATCATACAATCACAATAAATAATTCTAAAGAGTTATACAAATAATATACTATTTAGAATCAATTGTTTTTTTTTTTAATTTGGTATGTCTTTGTGCAATATAATAATTATATAATCAAAACTAAACTAATCGTAATTGTATCAAATATATATATATATAACTTAATAGTTTTAAACCATCAATTCACGAAACTAAATAACTAAACTTACTTCAATATATAAATACTTTAGAAAATCAGGCATAACCATTTATATTAAGTGATGAAAGACATGATTATCCATTATTTCTTTTAAAGATTATATTATATGGTACAACTAATTTTATAATTGTCATAAGATGCTTCAATTGGATAATTTTGAAATTCATTAATACAACAACATAACTTGTTAATTCAGTTCTAGAAAAAGACATTAGAATTGTATTTCAATGATGCAATTAATAGTAAAAATAAGATATTTTTAAATAATTCATCTCTTTTTCTAAATCAATGCGCGACCTAATACAGAAGCATACTTGAAACACTAATATACTGCAATAAAAATGCAGCACATAGTCAGGCATTGAAAATATATTATACTACTAGGGATAATAAGTTATTTTTTTTGGAAGTAACAGCATAGATTATTATCAATATGTTGTTACAATAGAAAATGTTATTTTAAAGTGCTATAAAGCTAACCATGGATGATAACGAATAGCTTCCCGACTTCTATCGCCATAATCATATGAAACTTCTACACCAATTGATATATCTTCTTTTGCTGTAAGTACTAAATGTGGTGTCGATTCTACTTCAACAATCCTTGCAATTAAATTTCCATTTCTAGAATGATTTACCAGTCTACCCAATTTATCCGATTCTGCAGTAGCGTCAACACTATAAATATTTTAGTATTGTTATGATCAATTAATTGGCAAAAATTGTATCGAAGATATGTTAGAGTTGAAATTGTAATATCATTGACTTTTTTTTTTTTTTTTTTTTTTTTAGTAAGATGACCACATAGAATGATATTATATTCATTTAAATAATGATTATGTTTGAAATGAAATACGTACCAATACTGATGATTACGATGTTGGAAATAATACATATAACATCCTGCATTTTGATCTTGAGCATAAATCTTTTCACGTTTCTTCGCTGTAACTTGATCAATTAATTCACCAATATATTCTACTACAAATTCTCCTTTTGCAAAAGAACGCGTAGTTACAACGCCACGTCCTTTACCAGGAAAATGTCTAACCTAAACAACATTAATATTTTATAATTAATACCAAATTAAATAAGAATATATATATATATATATATAAATAATATATATATTTTAATGCTTACTTCTAAACCTTCTTCAACCTGTTGCAAAACTTTACTTTCTATGTCTCTTTGTTTTTCTTCTAATACAGCTTTTTTAGATTTTCTCACACTACGACGTACTGGAAAATATTCTGTAAGCGTATGATTTGTACTTTTAATAACAGACGAATGCACTGAACGTTGAACATTATTTTGATTGAGAATCAATTTTCTTCTAGCAGGTTTGCGCGCAAGGTGTTTTGGTGGCCTAATTTTGCCAACAAATTCTTTATTCTTTCCACTGATGACACTTGCATTATCAGTTTCTTCAACAACACTACTTAACATATTTATTCTATGTGGCGTGGAAGCCCCATTGATTGGGGATACTTCTTCAGGTGTTTCTGTAAAAAAAATTTATCAATAATAATCATTCGAATGTTTCATTATAATGGAATGATTTCAAAATACACTATATAATACTATCATTTGTTTCTTTAAAATGGCACATATAAGGAATTAAAAATATCAATCATAATAATAATAATAATAATAATAATAATAATAATAATAATAATAATAATAATAATAATAATAATAATAATAATAATAATAATTCATCATAATAATTTCTCCATTATTTATACAAATAAAAATATATTTGATCTAAATTATATCAAATTTGTATACCTTTTAATTATTATGATTTAGAAATAATTAAACATGAAACAATTACAAATGATTTTGTAATGTTTAATAAATTATTCATATAGAGATTAGAGAAAAGCACGAGCGTTAGTATCTAAGATGAAATTCAAAATGGTGATAGTACAAGTTAAATCTATGAAAACATAACCTGATATTAATGAACAAATCTTAAGTGAAATTATTAATGATCATTTGGAAAACACACCTCTAACTTTAACCATTTTATCCTTGAATTTTTTAAAACAATCTACAGTCTTCTGATTTGATTTTCTCATAGAATAATTCTCTCTCACAGCCGCACACAACAATCATAGAATGGACGTTTACAATCCGCTTCCTTCCTACAAACTAAAGATACATATATCTATACCTACACACACGTACATAGCATTTAACTAGGTTTTTTACTTGTTAATCTAATGGTAAAGAAACTAGACGTAATATATAAAAACGACTATTGAAAATATTTTAATACAATATTGTCATTCAAACTGTGTCTGTCATTTTATCGAAATATAACAAATCTACTCGTATAGCTACAATTCTAAATTAATTCCAACATTTATATATATATATATTATTTTTAAAAAATGTTACCTTTAAAAACTGTCGGAAGTTGTATACAGTTCCCTATTTCCGGTGTATATGGGTCATCTAATGGTAATGTAATTTCCGATAATACCGACGGTGATTTTTTTTATGAATGAAATTAGTTCCGTCCATTGACACTATGATGCGCTGTATGCTACTTAAAATACGATGATTTTTCATAACCGCGCATAACGTTAAAACATTAAATGAAATTATTACAATAAATTCGTAATAAGTGTTGTCTCTTTCGTGATATAAATATATCTTAGTCATCTAGTACAATTATAACGTAATTTGTGAAAATAATCAACAAATAGTTAATGTGGCATGTGTTGTTAAAAATTGTGGTTACAATTAGAAAAACAAATGGCTAGTAGTACTTTAGATGCAATTGATTGGGAAGGTATTCTTATTAGATTAATTATAAACATTTGTATATTATACATATATACGCATTAGATATATATATATATAT